GCTTTTTTTTTTTTAAATCAAGATGAACACTCTGTTACTTAAGCCACAACTTTTGACTTTATTTTGACTTTATGTTTTTTTGGGGGGAGTGGTTTATTAGGGATAAGGATCTCATAGCCTTTCCTGCCTGGGCAGATTAAAGCCTCCTGAGTAGTTAGAATTATAGGTGTAAGCCAATGGTACCCAGCTTACACTTTTCGGTCAGTTGTGGGGCTTGAACTCTGGGCCTGGGCACTGTCCCTGAGCTTTTCAGCTCAAAGCAAGTGCTCTACCCCTTGAGCCACAGCTCCATTTATGGTTTTCTGATGGTTCATTGGAGATGACTCTCCCAGACTTTGCTGCCCAGGCTAGCTTTAAACCGTAATCCTCAGATCTCAGCCTCCTGAGTAGCTAGGATTACAGATGTGAGCCACTGGTACCTAGCTTACACATTATTTTTTAAAAGTGAGATTATACTGTTTATACCAAATAACTTTTTAAAAAAGTTATTTTGTACTTGCCAAGTAGGAGCTCTACTGTTGGAGGTATAACTTCAATATTTTTCCCCCGCTTTGGTTGGGGGAGGTGGTTAGTGCTGCTAGGGTTTGAACTCAGGATCTCATGGCTTGCTTGCTTACAGCTGATGCTTTGCCAACCCTGCTTTTTGCTGATTAGTTTGGAGATAGAGATTGTGGACTTTTCTTCCCAGGCTTGCTTTGAACAGATCTACCAGTTTTCAACTTGACATTTTTACTTTTGTGTGTGTGTGTGTGTGTGTGTGCGCGCGCGTGCGCGCACTCGCGTGCTTGTGCGTGCACGCATGTATGCATGTGTGTGTGCATGTGTATGTATATACTTTTGTACATGTTATTTGGTGTTCTTAGACAGGGTCTTCCTGGGTAGTCCAGGATGGTCTCCAATTTATCATGATCTGGTCTCAACTTCCCAAGTGCTGTAATTACAGGCATGCAGTACCACACCTAGCTACATTCTTATTATTTTTTTTTTAATTATAAGTATTCACAAGCAATAATGTTTATTTGACAGAACTGAAGTACACTTTTCCTCGAGCAGATTCAGATCTGTCAGTAGGCAATGACCCTTAAAATTCTTCAGGGCTTGGGTCTGGGAAGATGGCTCAGTGGTAGAGTGCTGGCTTTGCATGCATGAGGCCTTGGGTTCAATTCCTCAGCACCACATAAACAGAAAAAGCTGAAAGTGGTGCTGTGGCTCCAGTGGTAGAGCGCTAGCCTTGAGCTGAAGAGCTGAGGGACAGCGCCCAGGCCCAGAGTTCAAGCTCCACGCTGGGGTGGAGCTTGTATTGAATACATAACAAACAGCTTCTTTTGTTTAGCAAGTTACCTGTCTCCAGTGTGCTGTAAGAATAGGAGTATCATATAAATTAATAAATTACTTTTTGTGTGTTTTTTGATTTTTGTATTGTAGCTTGGACACCTTTTGGCAGCCACATGCAAAGAACTTCCAGGCCCTAAAGAAAGTAGACGGACAGCTAAAGATCTTTGGGAAGTTGTTGTTCAAATCTGTAGTGTGTCTAATCAGCACAAAAGAGGAAATGATGGCAGAGTTAGTTTAATAAAGCAGAGAGAATCTACGTTAGGCATAATGTATCGGTATGTATTGATTTATTTTTATCAATCACAGTTTTTGAGCTTTCATAATGCACTTGTAACTGTTTTAAGAACATCTACAGTTATTCTGTATATCATGAAAGATATATAATTCTAAGACTTCTACAGTGATCCTTCATGGACACTTTCGGAAATTTCTTCTATCAATAATCAACATGAAATCAGAATGGTTGGATAGTATGAGGAATTCTCATATGATTAAAACGGAGGAAATGTTTCCCTGGTTTATTATAACAGTCATAATAACTAATTCATATGTGCAAACTAGAGTTAGTAAATCTTCCTCTATAATTTTTATTATTCTCTTTTCAATATGTGATTTTGAATATATATAAAATTTTATTTTTGTAGGAGTGAACTGCTTTCTTTTATCAAAAAATTACGGGTAAGTCTTATTGGTCTAAATACTATTCTGCATTTTGTAGAATGACTTTAAAATATTGAGTATTTCAAGGGCTAGTTAGATTCTTAAGTGACTTGTTATTTGAGGCAAAGTGACCCACACCTGTAATTCTAGCTATTTCAGAGACAGAATTGGAAGGATCAAGACTAGCCTAGGTGAAGTTTTTGAGATTGATCTCAACTGATAAATGCTAGACATGGTGGTAAGTGCTTGTCACCCTAGCTATGCAGGAAGTATAAATAGGAGAATTATGGTCCATCTGTCCCAGGCATAAAGATGTGACCCCATTAACAAAGCAATAACAACTGGAGACATGACTCACCTGGTAAAGCTCCTGCCTAGTCCCTGAGTTGAAATTTTAGTACTGCTTGCCCACACACATATCACCCTTTGATAGGCATACATATAATTTACCTTACAGAAAATGAAAAAATATAAATGCAAATTTTTATTTTACATTTATCATCATGTTTTAATCAATAGAACAATACTTTTTTTGTTGCTCATGGGGCTTGAACTCAAGGTCTGGGCACTGTCTCTGAGCTCTTTCACTCAGGGCTAATGCTCTACCACATTGAGCCACAACTCCACTTTTTCTAGTGGTTAATTGGAGATAAGGGTCTTACAGACCTTCCTACCTGGGCTGGCTTTGAACCATGATCCTCTGATCTTAGCCTCTTGAGTATCTAGGATTACAGACGTGAGCCACTAGGGTCTGGTAGCATAACAGGTATTTTTGAAATTGTAAAGATGTCTCCAGAATACTGAATGTGTAAAATCTATCTCTATTTTCTGAATGATAGGATTAATGTCATTTTAATACAATGGTCATAGCCTAGGTTTCATCCTTTAAATCTTAAGGAAGAAAAGATGACCTCTTTTGGAGGTAGCTAGAAATACTAGTTTAAAGTGATAAAAATCTTATGAGGATGGCTGGGGCTGGGGGTGGGGTGGGGCGGTAGCTAGTGGAGTATTTACTAGCCATGCTGCCCTACCTTTGATGCCTAGCACTGCCTTTTTCTTCAAAAAAAGGTGCTACGCTGAGTTGAGCCTGGAGGTAGTACCATAAGGTATACAGCTAAATGGTCATTTTAGTGCAAATTGTGTGCTGTGGGGTTTTTTTTTTAAGTTTTTTTTCTCCAAATATTTCTTTATTGAGATTAAGTGATTACATAAATTTCACAGTACTGTGGCATCATTATACTTAGCTAAAATCACAAACTCCTTTTCATCTTCACAATAATATTCTCTTAATCTACAAAGTTTATGAATTCTACAAACTTTAACAATAGTATTATTTGTACTAAATCAGGTGATATGTACATTTCTTTCCTTTCGTTCAGTGTCAGTTGTTCCTCTTTCTCTCTCATCCCTCCCTCCCATCACCACCCTTGACTTAGTTGCTTAGTTCACTTTCATCAATGTCCAGTGCAGCTGATAGGCCCCACTGCTGTATTCTTTCACCTGCTTTCCTCTGATTCTGTGCCCTCCTCCCAGCTTTCCTGCGATGTGCATGTATATACGCCGTATTTATAATTAAAGTTTAAAATTAAAATGTATTTATAATTATTTTGTGCCAGTTCTGGCATTTGATCTCAGGGCCTAGATGCTATCTCTGAGCTTTTAATTTTCTTTTGGTCAAGGATAGCAATCTACCCTTGAGCCACAGCTCTGCTTTTGTGTTTTATGGTCAGTTAATTGGAATAATTGTCTCATGGACTTTCCTGTTTGTGCTGGCTTTGAACCTTGATCTTCAGATCTCATGCCTTAAGTAACTAGAATTATAGGTGTAAGCCATTGTTACCTGACTTAATTTAAACCAAAAAAGATACTAAGGTTTCAGAAGGGTGTTTTTGTTTGTTTTTTGTTGTCGGTTGTGGGGCTTGAACTCTGGGCCTGGGAACTGTTCTGAGCTCTTCAGCTCAAGGTAAGTGCTCTACTGCTTGAGACACAGGGCCACTTCCCATTTTCTAGTGGTTAATTAGAGATAAGAGTCTCACAGACTTTCCTTTTCTAGGCTGGCTTTGAGCCGTGATCCTCACATCTCAGCCTCCTGAGTAGCTAGGATTATAGGTGTGAGCCACTGGCGCTCTGTGGGTTTTTTTCTTTTAAGAAAATACATGGTGTCTTTGACATTGTCAGGATAAAAAAATATGTAAGTAAATAATAAATTATATATATATACATATATATGTGTGTATCTATTTGGTGAAGTCGTATGAGGTTTGAACTCTGGTCTTTGTGCTTCTTTGGCAGCATGCTATTATTTGAGTCATGTAATGCCCATACACACTAAAGCAGTCTGTTTTCTTTCTCATAGGAACCATTGGTTTTGACTATTATTTTGTCACTCTTTGTGAAACTTCACAATGTCCGGGTCAGTATTTTATAATCTCATTTATGAAATGTTTGAAAAAACTTTCTTTGTAAATCTCACAGTTGAAAAATAGCCTTTTTTCTTTTTCTTTTTTAAAGGAAGACATTGTGAATGATATCACAGCTGAACACATTTCTATTTGGCCATCTTCCATTCCCAAGTAAGTAATTGTATGGCTTTTTTTTTTTTAAATTTCATTTTTTTATCCTCAAAGTGATGTACAGAGGAGGTTACAGTTACATAAGTAATGTAATAAGTACAAGCTGGGCTCTAGTGGCTCATGCCTGTAATCCTAGCTAGGTACTCATGAGGCTGAGATCTGAGGATCGTGGTTCAAAGCCAGCTTAGTCAAGTTAAGTCTGTGAGACTCTTATCTCCAATAAACCACCAGAAAACCAGAAGTGGCCCTGTGGCTCATATGGTAGAGCTCTCGCCTTGACCTAAATTGCAGAGGGACAATGCCCAGGCCCAAAGTTCAAGCCCCATGACTGACCCAAAAAAAAAAAAAGTACATTTCTTGAAAACTTGTTATCCCTTCCCTTTTTCTCCCACTCCTCCCCCCATCTCCCCCAGTTTTCCCCGAAGTTGTATAAAAAATATGAAACGCTTCACGAATTTGCATATCATCCTTGCACAGGGGTCATGCTAATCTTCTGTATCATTCCAATTTTAGTACATGTGCTCCTGAAGCTTAACAACTCTGTTTCTCTGTTATTTTAATTGTCTTCCTAAAAATAAGCCAGGCGTGGTAGGTGGTGCAGGCACGTAATCCTGGCTCTTGGGGGGCTGTGATCAGGAAGATTGCAGCTTCAGGTTCAGCTGGGCAAGTTTAAGGCCTGTCTAGGGTACACAGCAAAACTCTGAAAACAACAAAAAAGAATTACAGGTAAAACATCCCCTTTTATTTATTTATTTATTTATTTTGCCAGTCAACTCTGGGTCTGGGCACTGTCCCTCAGCTCTTCAGCTCGAGGCTAGTGCTTTACCACTCAAGCCACAGTACCACTTCAGCTTTTTCTGCCTATGTGGTGCTGAGGAATGGAACCCAGGGCCTCATGCATGCAAGGCAAGCGCTCTACCACTGAGCCACCTTCCCAGACCCAGTTCTACAGTTTTTATCCTATAGTTCTATATTCTGGTTCCCTGCCTTCAGAGTTCTATGTTGCTCAGGCTCAGAGCAGCTGGCTCTGCTCCTTGCCCTTTTCTTGACTCTGTTGCTGTGATAAACACTAAGTAATATATTCGCCACATCTAACCCCTGACTATGTTTGGGGTACTGAACATCTAATCCAAGGGTTATTTATCTTTGGAAGAAACTTTAGGTAGATTTTAAGGTCACACAGTAATATTGTTAGTGTTTGATGGGTTTTAGGTAACATTACTTAAAAAGTATTTGAGGAAATGGTGGGTCTCTCTTTTATTGATTGTAAGTTATGCTAATAGTAAAGACTTTTATTATATTTATGCCCACTGACATATGGAGTTTTTTTTTTTTTTTTTGGGTCCGGTCATGGGGCCTGAACTCTGGGCCTGGGCGCTGTCCCTCAGCTCTTCAGCTCAAGGCTAGCACTCTACCACTTGAGCCATAGCACCACTTCCGGCTTTTTTCTTTTTGCTTATGTGGTGCTGAGGAATCGAACCCAGGGCCTCATGCATGCAAGGCATGTGCTCTACCACTGAGCCACCTTCCCAGCCCCCGGAGTTTTTTTATATATATATATATACACCTATAGATGTGAAGTTAGCTTTTAAAGTAAAAATTAATATTGAATATCTTCCCTTTAGCCTCCAGTCTGTAGACTTTGAAGCTGTAGCAATCACGGTGAAGGAGCTAGTTCGATATGCACTTAGTATAAATCCAAACAACCATTCCTGGTTAATTATTCAAGCAGACATTTATTTTGGTAAGTGAGATATTGATCGTCATATTTTGTTAAAAGCTCTTAAAAAGAAAAGTCAATATATTACTCACTTGTTTTTAAGAATTACTGATTTTTTTTCTTGGTAAAGAGTGAATAAAACTGAATTGTTTCTTTTGTGTGTGTGTGAGCAATAATGGGCCTTTCACTTGGTAGTAGGCAGATACTGTGCCACAGAGCTATTTCTTCATCCCCTGTAAGCACTGATTATGTTTTAATAGGTCTCTCTTCCTCCCTGGCATATTAACTGCATTGTAATCTACCTTTTTTTAAGCCTTTTTTAAAGCTTGGCTGGGATTGTAGAACAACCATTTTTGCTTTATTCTCTTGAGATAGTTGCAGGGATTTTTCTGCCCCAGGCTTTATCTGGAACCTTGATCTGCCCAATCTTAGCTTCTCTTGTAGCTACGATGACAGGTTTATGCTACTATGTCCAGCTATCAGTTGAGAAAGAGATCTTCTGAACTTTCTGTCTAGGCTTGTCTTGAACCATGATCTTCCAATTTTTCTTTTTGAATAGGTAGTGTTATAGGTGTGTCACTGGTACCCAACATAGTTAGGCATTTTTAAGTATAGATCCTTTGCTTTAGATGCTTTTAATTTTATATTGACAACTTATTTTTTATATTGACTATTTTTTTGTAAGTATTGATTAGTTCTTTTTTCTTTTTTTCTATTGGTCCTGGGTCTTGAACTCAGGACCTGGGTACTGTCCCTGAGCCTCTTTGCACTAAGGCTAGCATTTGACCACTTGAGCCACAGTGCTACTTCCAGCTTTTTTTTTTTTTGGGGGGGGGGGGTCCGGTCGTGGGGCCTGAACTCTGGGCCTGGGCACTTGAGCCACTGCGCCACTTCCAGCTTTTTTTTTTCTTTTGTGGTGCTGAGGAATCGAACCCAGGGCCTCAGGCATGCAAGGCAAGCACTCTACCACTGAACCACCTTCCCAGCCCCCAGCTTTTTTTTTTTTGGTCCGTCGTGGGGCTTGAACTCTGGGCTTGGGCACTGTCCCTGTGCTCTTCAGCTCAAGGGGAGCACTCTGCCCCTTGAACCACAGGGCCACTTCTGGTTTTCTAGTGGTTTATTAAGGATAAGAGTCTCACAGACTTTCCTGCCCCGGGCTGGCTTTGAACTGTGATCCTCAGATCTCAGCCTCCCTAGTAGCTAGGATTATAGGCATGAGCCACCGGAGCCCGGCCGGCACTTCCCGCTTTTTCTGTGTAGTTTATTAGAGATAAGAGTCTAATGGACTTTGCTGTGCCAGCTGGCTTCAAACCACAACCCTCAGATCTCAGACTCCTGAGTAGCGAGATTACAGGCGTGGGCCCCTGGTGCCTGGCTGGATTTTTTTTTTTTTGGGTCCGTGGGGCCTGAACTTTGTCCCTCAGCTCTTCAGCTCAAGGCTAGCCCTCTACCACTTGAGCCACAGCGCCACTTCCAGCTTTTTTTGTTTTTGCTTATGTGGTGCTGAGGAATTGAACCCAGGGTCTCATGCATGCCACGCAAGCGCTCTACCACTGAGCCACCTTCCCAGACCCTGGATTTTTTTTTTTAATCCAAGAAGTTACTTAAACATCCTTAAGGATTATCCAAGAAGTTGCTTATTTGTAAGAAGTTTTATTTGTAAAATTTCAACATTTCTCTGGATGTTCTTGGCTATAATTTGTATCCTTGGAAATGGAATTCCATTCCCTCACCATCCTTCTGCCCATGACCCCTAAAATACATATCAATTACATGTAGCAGAATTTTCATACTTATATGACAGTTCTACAATATCTTTTTACTGGACAGACAGTTTCTTACTGTGTCATTTCAGGATCAGTGTTTTAGGAGTTGGCGTATGTACTTGCTGGTCCTTGAGCCAGAATACAGGCCTGGGCACTGTTCCTGAGCTTTTTTTTGTGCTTAAGCCTAGCACTCTACCACTTGAACTAGAGCTTCACTTCCAGTTTTTGAGCGGTTAATTGGAGATAAGAGTCTTATGGACTTTTCTGCTTAGGCTGGCTTTGAACCATGATCCTCAGATCTCAGCCCCTGAGTAGCTGGGATTACAGGTATAAGCCACTGGCACCCAGCATGAGTTGATTTTTGGGGGGGAATGGGGAGGGTTGTTCATGGGACTTAACTCTAGGCTTGGGCACTGTCCCTCAGCTCTTTAGCTCAAGGCTAGCGCTCTACCACTTGAGCCATAGTGCCACTTCCAACCTTTTTCTGGGTATGTGTGATGCTGAGGATTGGAACCCAGGGCCTCATGCATGCAAGGCACTCTACCACTAAGCTACCTTCCAGCCCCTGATTTTTTTTTTTTAAGAGTACAACATTTAAGGGTTGTAAGAAGAGTATAGTGAATGTCCATGTATCTGTTATTTAGCTTAAATAGAGCCTGTCTTTTCTGTACTACTACTTTTATCGTTTTTCTCTCCAAATTTTGTTGAAGCAATTATTTTTTAATTTTTAGTTTTTTTCCCCATCCACAAAAGATGTTATCATCAAGACCTTAATATCTGACAGATTTTGAACTTTATATGCAGACTCTGATATACAGATTCAAAATTTAGACACGGGAAATAAATATTTCCATACAGTAAAATTCTGTACTATTTTTTTGTTCTATTATCATTTTCTTTTTTTCTGGTGGTACTGGAGTTTGAGCTCATAGATTTGTACTTTACAACTAAATTTAGTGAGAAATACAACTTAAATTTTTGGCTACAAGTTTTATGAGACCAAACTTTTTTTAAAGACTTTTTTTTCTTAGTAATATCCTGAATCTATATAAAGTTTTATTCTTTATCTATGGTTTACATGAGCTTTTGCTAATTTCTGTAGTTATACCTAATTCTTACAAAAGATGCTATTTCTTCCACTTCTTATTTATGACAAGGAATTCTTTTCTTTTCCTGCTTTAGCAACAAACCAGTATTCAGCAGCACTTCACTATTATCTCCAGGCAGGAGCTGTGTGTTCCGATTTCTTTAATAAGGCTGTACCCCCTGATGTTTATACAGATCAGGTGAGTCTTTGTAGATTTGCTTGCTTTTTTTTTTTTTGTAAAGATACTGTATAGAGGGGTTACAGTTACATGAGTAAGGTAATGAGTGCATTTCCTATCGAGCATTGTCACTCCCTCCTTTGTTTTTCCCCTCTATCCTTTCCTACTCTACCTCCCTAACTCTTCCCCCTAGATTTACTTTCTTCTTGCTTACTTTTTACGTGCTTTTCTTCCTTAGCAGCTTTTTGACTGAACTTAGCCGTTAGTTGACATGTGATCATTGGTCTAGATCAAGTTGCTATCCATATTTTTAATACCCATATTCACAAATGATTCACAAATTCACTTTGATTTTCCCAAACCACCTCAAACCCAACCTGTCCATAACTGACTTGTGTCTTTTCTATACTCCCCTCATAACAAATTGACCTGGCTTTCCTAAAAATCTCCAAAATAGTAAATATTTTAATCCATTTGAATTATCCAAGCCAAAATCTTGAACATCGAATTTAACGCTCTTGATCCTGCTGGCAACCGATAATCTTGCTGGCAACGGATATCAACTCAACTTTTTTTCTCCATTGTTTCTATCTCCTGAATTCCTAATTTTTTTCCTTATTGTGTGTATTTTGATATGCATAGACAAATGATTACTACAAACTAGTTTCATTACCTTCCATAGTTACCTTTTTATGTGTGTGGGATAAACACCTAAATTCTAATAGCAAATTTTTAGTATATAGTGTAGTATTACCATTTTATGATTCTGTGTATCAAACCTAGACTT